AATTGAGGGATGATCTCAGAAACAGCCCCAAGAAACACACTGTTGTGTGCCCTTTAAGGATGTTTTTGAGGATGTTGTTCATCATGTTTCTTTATGATGACCTGGGGTGGGGTGCTTCTTTCTGCTCTCTGATTCAGCAAACAGTTGTACTTCTCCAAATAGGATCGCTTTTTATCTTGGACACATTTTCAGATGTGTGAGAATTATGTAACCCTTGCTATATCCTCTGCTAGAAACATGGAAGCTAATTGTGGCTCAGTCTGTACAGGATGAATTTTATGAATTTGTCTAGTTGCTGTTTCACATTTCATACCTACTTTCAAATCATAGTTTCAAGTTAACTTGCTATATGTTCTTGTTGCAGAATTACAAATGGACCTAACCTTTTTTTGGAATATGTTCTAGTATAATCCATCAAGTAAACAAATGAAGTGATAAAAGAGTAGAAAGTCAAACAGTGAAAAGCAGCTTCTAAAGGGATGTACCAGTTAGTATTCTTCCATTTGAAAGTCACTGAAACCCTAAATGGGTTTAAAAGGCAACAAAAAATATTAATTTAACCTGAAATGTTCGGTGGCAGGGTGTTTTTGGATAGTGTTTAATACAGGGACTCAAATAAGATCCAAAAGCCTAGAGACTTTGGTTTACTGTTGAATTTCCAGCAAAGAGATACATAAGTGCTCAATAAATATTAGTTGAAATTATCCTTGTGAGATTTCCAAAAGTTCCTGCAAAATCCCAGGACCTGACCTGGGTCACATGCTAATCCCTGAACCAATCTTCTGATCAAGGGGCTCCAGTGCTCTAATTTCCCAGGACGGGGTCACATGATCCTAATTGCAAAACCAGGAACGGGTCGCCAAGGAAACCGCTGACAGTGGGGGAAGGTGGTTCCCCAAAGGAAATCTGGGGCATTACAAAAGAGAAACAGATGCTGGACTGACAAAACAACAAATAAGCACATCAGTGGAGGATGGAGAAGGCAATGCTTGGTTTGAATTATAAGGGATAAGCAGGAGCTAGCTAACAGGGCAGTTTTTGGTAGGTAACATTCTAGGTGTATTCAAAGCATGCAGGGATAGACTAGCTTGATGCTTTTGAAGAACTGTAAATAACTTTTGTGGTTAGAGCAAACAAGAGTGGGGAGTGGTAGGACAATAAACTAGAGAGAAAAGGAGAATGCAAAAATGAGGCACCTCTTTAAAAAGATTTTATTTATTTATTTTTAGAGCAAAGAAGGGAGGGAGAAGGAGGGAGAGGAACATTGATCAGTTGCCTCTGGTATGGGCCCCTACCTGCAACCTAGGCATGTGTCCTGACCAGGAATCGAACCTGGGGGCTTTCTGCTCAACCAACTGAGCCACACTGGTCAGGGCTATGAGGCAATTTTGAGGTTAATCCAAGGAGGGTGCACTGGATCCAGAAAGCCCTGGAAAGACTGTGTAGGATTTAGAGCAAGGGAACATAACCGTATAGCTAAGCCTAAGCGGGTCATAACAAGGTCAAGACTGATTCACCCTGGAAACACTCAGTGGAGCTGAGTCTGCAGTCTGGGAAAGGAGTCCCAGATGTGGACAAACTAAAGAAATAGGGACAAAGCAAAAACTAGGAGTCAAACGGACTTGGGAATCAAACAGACTGCCGCACCATCAAGTTCTTCTTTAAGTCCCGGTCTTATGGCCCAAACTGTTGTGAATTCATCTTCACAGGAGAGCACACTTCAGTGAGCCAAGGTGCATTCATAGCATGACTTGATTGGATGTTGAATTTATTTGCTAGGGTTGCCTTGACAAAGAGCCACAGACTGAGAGCCTTAAGGACAGAAATGTATCGTCTTCACAGTTCTGGAAGCTGGAAGTCGAAATGAAGGTGTCCGGAGGGTTGGCTCGTTTTGAGGGCTTTAAGGGATAATCTGTTCCATGTCTCTCCCCCTTGGGGAGATGCTTCCTTGCCTTGTAGACACATCACCCTGACCTTTACCTTCATCTTCACATGGTGTTCTTCCTGTGTCTGTGTCTGCTTCCAAACATTCCCTTTTTACAAGGATTCTGGACACGCTGGGTTAGGGCTTACCCTAGTGACCTAATTTTATCCTGATTTCTTCTCGGAGGGCCCTATCTCCAAATAAGGTTAAATTATGAGGTATTAGAGGACAATATTTCAACATCTGAATCTTCGGAGGACACGATTCTTTTTTTTTAAGATATATTTGTTATAAAGGTTTTAAGAGAAAAGCAGATGTTCCCTAAGTGGATTGATTTATTTATAACAGGTATGGTGGTAACACTTTGGTTCATAAAGACAAAGAAAATAATACCATTAATATCAAAGGCCCAGAAGCAACTCTGCAGTCCACCATGAAGATTTTTTTTCAGATTAAATTTTAAAACGGTTCTTTTCTAACTTGCAGGGTTTCACATGGAGGATAGTGTAAAGAGGGATGGTTGTGAGAAGATGTCTGTAAACTGGCATTGCATGAACTTTCCATCCACTGAGTCTTTTCTGAGCACCTAGCACTCAATCTTCCCAACAGTTCCCTGAGGTGGATATTACTATCATTCTTACTTATAAACAAAGACACTAAGCAGCTCCTCAAGGTTAACTACATTATTCTAGGCTACATTGGATAAGCAGTGGGCTGAGATTTGATTCAGACAGCTCTGGTGGCAAACTATCACAGGTAGCACCCAAACTAACTTTACGAGAGTCCAGGTTGAAGACCAGGAGTGTCACATTGCGTTGACTATGGAAGATGTTGCCCAGTACACACTTGTCCAAAGAGGCAATGAGTCTCTTAGGGGAACAATTGTTGGCCCTAAAGTGCCCAACATGTTTGCTCGGTGTGATAAAATCTTTGTGATGTCACCACACAGCTATTTCCTCTGGTATCGGTATTATCATAAGAAAGGAGCATTGTCCAAAATTAATAGAGAGACCCAAAAGCAAGCTCTATGAATAGTCTCCTCAGGAGCTTCTCCATACCTAACCCCTGCCTGCTACTAATGCTTACTGGTCCAGGGAAGAGGACTTTCCCATGGAGATGTGGCTGTAGAAACTGAGTGATGTCATCCTCCACCCCATCTTCCACTGGTTCTATTCCACTGCCAGTGCAGTTTGTTTGGGAAACTGCTTTCATTCGAAGGTCCTGATTGAGACACTGAAACAGTTAGGCACCCAAAAATGCTAACATGGAGACTGGACTCTTCGCTCTCGAAAATACTGCTTGTCACTGCCTCCGTGAGTGAAATAAATTATTTTGTCAGTCTTCTTAGGCGGTTTTGCAGTTTAGATAGAAGCTAAAAATGTATCGCTTGATAGAAGCATCTGTAACCGCGGCAAGATAAACAGACACAACTTAGAAAGCAAACTCCAATAAAATGCTGAGAAGCAAGACCGCGGAGGTTGTTTTGCCCGTCAGTCACCAACGCCACTGAGCAAGTAGAGTCACTTCAAAAGCAACATCTTGGTTTCCTGAGTAATCTGTGCTCGGTGGTTCAGGAACGCAGCCCCAGTATCTGGAGGGGAGGGAGTTTCTACGGTGCAGGGGAGATCTGAGTCACAGCACAAACATTTCCCTGGATCTGCAGCGTCTTCTCCTCCTCTTGTCTTTAGATGTTATTTCCTTACATCTTTTTCAATTTGCTCAGTTTTGGCTGAGAACTCCCTGTTTCACTCCCAATGAAAATCAATGAGATTTGGAACGCTGAAGAAAAAAATCTTAAATTGGCAGTTTTGATTTTTCTTAAAGGCATAAAAATTGCATAAGTCCACACCCTCCACATTACCCCACCCAGCCACCCCCCACCTCCCACGCTACCGCGGGCGCGCGCGCACTCACACAAACACACATACACCCTCCTCTTCGTGGAAGATAAAAACAGTATCTTAAAGGATTGTGGAAGCGGCTGAGTGGTCAAGAAGCCCCAGCTTTTCAGAGACACCTGTCAAGTTGGGGTTAGTAGCTGCTGTCGTGGGGTCTGCTCTCTGCCTCGGGGGGTTGGGGGTGAGGGGGAAGTACCGACACAACGTGAGACTCCACTGATCAGGAACTGGAAAGAGATTTTTTAGGATGACACAAACGTCAAGGCAAAACTTTCAAACTGGCTGAGTTTTAGTTCATTCTGGGCGACTGTGCCTGAGAACCCAGCCCTGGGAATTGGACAGACTGAAAACATGGAGAACAGTTTGACCAGTGAGAAATAATCATCGTGATCAAATTAATACTTTGGACACCACTCGCTGTGCGCCATGCTAACTTAGGTCCGCCTCTGAACATTTGGGTGGGTTGAGGTTTTCGCGTGCACTCCCCACACTTGAAGGTTTTCTTAGAGATGAACAGAACCGTTGAGGAGGGAAGGGAACGGACTAGAAGCTTAATCGCTTCTTGCCAGGATGCAGTGCCTGTGGGATTACACAGATAGGATCGAGTCCGGGTGGGTCCCCAGTGCAGCAAGGCGCGCCGGAAGGAATCTAAGAGTTTAATTAACTATCCACCCACCCACCCACCCACACGCTTACACAAACCAAAGGAAAAGAAACCCAGAGAGGCAACCCTCAAACCGTTTGATCTGAGGAAATTGGCTTTACTTATTTCCCCTTCCAGTCTTTCAATCCATCAGGATTGTAAATTTAAAAAAAAAAAAAAAAAGAAAAGAAAAGGCATAAAATTGGGGGCGGGGCAGAGAAGCGACGCCAGAACTGCACTTGAGAACCTAAGGCTGCGCCTGGGTGAACTTCTAACGGATAACCCGCCCGCAGCTCACTAGGGCCGGCCGCGCACGGAGGCTGTGCAGCCCGGCTGGCCGCGCGCTCGCCCGCCTGCCTCGAGGCGCGGAGCCGAGCGCCCACCTCGCTTTTCCGGGCCAAGCGGGGTGCGCGTGGGCGCGCCGGGCGGCCCGGATCCCGCGGCGGCGTCCGCGCTCCGCGTTTTCGCTCTCGCCCGGCCGCGGCGGCCGGGGGCGGGGTGAGCGGCGGCGCGGCGGCGCGGGGCTCGAGTCCGAGGGCACTCCGCTCGCAGCCCGGTGCCAGCGCCGGGTCCCTCCAGCGGCCGCAGCCGCCCGACAGCGCGCCCCGGGACGTGCCCGCCTCGCGCCGTCTGCGCTAACTTCCCCGAGGGGCGCTGCGGCTTGCACCGCGACTTTCTGGGCTCTGGATGGTTCGCGAGCTGCCCACCCTCGCCCACCCCTGACGCCACGAACCGCAGCTCCGCAGAGTCGGCGCGGCGCCGCGGACCGTCCAGCCGAGTTCCGTCCTTCGCGCGGGGTGAGTGGCGGCGCGGCTCCGGGTGGGCTCTGCAGAGGGCTGCGGCGCGGCGGGGGGAGCGAGTCCCGCAGGGGAAGGGCCCGGGACCCTGGGTGTCACTGCGGGAGGGTCCGTGACACTGAGGCTGGATCGGCGTGACAGGAAATAAGGGAGAAGGTCACGTTCGATCTGCTGGGCTGTGTCGACAGTGAACGCAGGTATTAGGCTGCAGCGCCGGGAGGGCTGCAGAGAGGCTGCCCGCACGGCTCTTGTTTGCGGCATTACAGCCAACTCTTCCCTTGATTCTCTCCTGCGCGGAAGCCCACTCAGTGGCCCCAGAGTTGGGGAGATGCTGGCGCAGGAAGGCGAGGGTGCGTTGGCATGCCCGCCGCTTAGGATCGCCTGTCACCTACTGGCGTGGGGAGGGAGGGTGCCGACCCTGGGAGGGAGCCTTCCAAAGGCTCTGGGGACAGGGCCGGTCGCTGCTCGTCCCGGGTGCGTCAGCTCACCGACCCCCACCCCCCGCCCGGGCAAAGATGTTTTTCTCACTGTAGGACGTTTATGGGAAAGAATGGGAGCGTCCTCCTCCCGTTAGACAGAAAAAGTTAAAGAAACTGGGCATGTTAATGATTAGCAGGACCGGGACTCAGGATGCAGCAGAAAGCTGTTAAATTTTCATTGCCCTCTAAGAAAAACAAACGGCATCGCCAGTGCCTATTGGCAGTGCCGTGTTATTTTGGGACTTTGGGGAAATTGTCCACAGATTGTCTTCCGGAGGCTGAAGAACGAGGTGGGGAAGGGGAAGGTCGGATGGCAGCGCACTGGGTCCCGGATTGCCCAAGGAGGGCTCAGGACCACACGCCAAACGCGTTTGCTTGCTGATTTTAAAACGCGGACGGGAGGCAGAACTGCAGCCATGAACACGGGCAAGAGCACGCCATGGGGACCTGCATAAAGAAACGAACACCTTGCCTCTCGGGAGGAGTTCAGATGCATTTGTGCTGTAAAAAGCAGGCGTGTATACGTGGCTTTTCGGATGAACTTTATGAAGGACAAATTATACTTAATGAAATTGTCTCTCTGCACGCCAGACAGTTTTGCCTACCTGCTCATTTTAATCAGTACCTCGGAAGGTGGTGTCTGCAGTTGATATTATATAATTGATGGGGTTCACCATCAGATATTTTTAATGCACTTTGGGAGTAAAAGGAACTTCCATCTGTCCCTTCAGACAGGCCCAAGGTTTAAACGGGTGAGGGTGGCTGAATGTTTGCCCTGATCCAGCTCCAGATGTGTGAGCTCAGCTGTTGCCTGTCACTTAGGTGACAACTGGCCTTTTCCCACTAAGCCTTTGCTGTCTCCATTATCCTCAGTGAAGTGTCAATGTTCAGCCTCCTTCTATTATCGAGAGTGGGCTCCAGGCCCCTTGGGAGGCGGCAGCCTTGTTTGACCATCCCCAACGATATGTCTGTTTTCAGACTCTAGGAAGGAAAAAACAATCCCATGACAGCAAGATAGATACATTTTGAATTAAGCACCAACTTAATCCAAAGATTCTACTTTAATCAAGACAGCTCTGGAAGGATGATGCAATATTTGTCAAGCCTTTTTCTCTGGAACAATATTTACTCCCACCAGGGGATTTTAAACTTAAACAGCGGCCATTTATCTTGCTGTCTGGTGGGGCCCTGTTCAGTTTTCCTCCAATGTGGTCCTAGCCTAGGTGGCTGGGCTTGGCCTGGGACAGAAATCTGTCATTGTAGCTCAGCTGGAGCCTGAAGAAAGCAAAATACAGCACCTGCTGGTACCAGAGGGTTCCTAAATGCCATCAACTGGTGAGTTAGGAAACACAGAAGGAGATATTTTACAAGCTCTTCCAGAAATGTTTATACAAAGGATTTAAAGGTTAACAATGCATGTGCTCTACATATGAAAACTAAAAAGGTGCTAGAAATCAATGGACGTTACCCACAGTTAAGAGTCAGCACACTTGCTGATGAACTTGAAAAATCTCTGCTTTAATACAGCATGGCTAACAATAGTGACTCATTCTTGTGAATAAGCCCAGGGAGGAAGGGAGGGAGGAGGGGAGGAAGGAGAGGGAGGGAGGGAAGAGGGGAGGAGAAACTGGGTGCCACATAGAGGTAGCCATATTGATGTGAACGAATGCTTTTCCATTCTTAATTTGGTACTAGTTGGTGATTCTCACTCTGTGAGCCTGTTGATTCATAGGTTTTTAAAAGAAATGTGATATATTTTCCTAAAGTGACAGATTTAATCAGTCCTGCCAGCAAAACCAATGAACTTTAAAAGTTTATCATGTTTTTATAATCAAGGTCCATGGAACCATGATTTGTTTCTATAATAAAGTAGGTTGTAATGAGTGAGCTTGGGCTGCCCAAATAAAATCTAATAGCAACTGGGGAGAAAAATTTCTTACAAGGTTAATAGCTGAACTATTAAGAGTCAGATGTGGGTAAAGTCTGGTTGTTCATAATATCCTCTCCTATCAATAACTCTGAAAAGACAAAAGAAAAAAGGTTAAATTTTGAAGTTTTTTTTAATGAAAGATTTTTAAAAGTAAGCTTAAATCTAAGTTTTAAAAAATGACATTTTAGGATAATTTCTCTAAAATCTCTTATAATGACAACACAGAATTGAGTATTATGAGTGACTGTTCATAATACTCATGAGATGGAACAAGAGTTTAAAAAATTATTTTCTAGCCCTGGCTGGTGTGGCTCAGTGGATTGAGCACCAGCCTGTGAACAAAAGGGTCATGGGTTCGATTCCCAGTCAGGGCACATGACTGGGTTTTGGGCCAGGTTCCCAGTAGGGGGCGCTAGAGGCAACCACACCTTGATGTTTCTCTCCCTCTCTTTCTCCCTACCTTCCCCTCTGCCTAAAAATAAATAAATAAATCTTTTTAAAAATAAAATGAAAAATTGTTTTCTAGAAATTAAGTAACTTTTAGTGGCCTATCCATGTACTTTGGGTTGTCCAATATGGGAAACTATTTTCAGGAAAGATTATCATTTCCAGTATCCTAGTTTTTGCAGTTAATTTCCTGGTTAAAGTCATTTATGAAGAATAAATTTTTCCTTTTAAAGAAGGAAAGCAATTTTAAAAATCAAAGTGAGTCTCACTGGGGATAGAAATGTTGAAGATGTCACTTGACCAGGCTACGGTGGCCTGACTCTTAGAAAAATAGCTCTCTCTCTTATTTCCTTTTCATTTCACATAAAATAATATCAGTTATCTAACTCTTATTAGTGTGAGAATATTCAATTTGCTTAAATCCAGGTGTAATTATTCCACAATAAGTAAGAGTTGAGAAAGTGAATGAGCTGTTATTTGGTTGGTTGGTTGGTCGGTTGGTTGGTGTTTTATGGGATCATTCCTGCTTTTTCTTGTGGTCACAGAATAGAACATTACCCTATTTCACACTAATATCTTTAGAGGGTTGGCGTGAGCAAACGAGTTGGGAGAGGAAAATAAAATAATCCAGGTGCCAAGTCGTGCACTGATTGGTGCAGTGACTCAAAACCTCAAGCAGCACGTGCAGACCGCGCTCCCAGCCAGCGCGCCAGGGACCGAGGTTCCGTCAGGGAAGTTGCAGCAGCCCCAGCCTCTGAACCACTCCATCCTAGACACACATTCAGTGTTGCAACCTCCACGCCCCCAGTAAACCGTGTTCACATCCTCTTGTTTACGGCTGTGCTGGACTGAAGTCAAGGACGTTAACTACATGTCTGTTAGTGAAGCAACATTTTGGAGCAGTGGAAAAGGCCTGGCCTGACGTAAGGATCCACCTACACCTTCCTTTCCCCCCGCTCCCCTCTCCGCTGAAGGAGAGATGGTGGGAAGAGACGTGCTTTACAAGTTGGAGCACGCTGATGTCATGACACTTCTGGCGCAGAGATACGAAAGAATAATCAGATCCCTTACCTGTGTGCCAGAATGACACAGTTTTTCCAAGAACCGTTCCTGAACCAGGGGTCCACTGGCACTGACTGTTCACGTTACTGGGGGGATCAGACCTCTCAACGAGAATGTAATAATTCTCCCCGAGTCTCGGTTTTGTGCACATGTTTAGACTAAACTCAATGCATCTTGGTCACTTTGGAAGGGACCTCTCTCTAGGAACAAGAATGATTGCCCAGCCTGAACTGATTAGACCCTTCCAGGTTCATTTCCGTATAAAGGGAGATTTTAAATTTAAAATAAAAAATAAAAACATCAGCAAGGCAGAAGCAAATGTAAACATTTTAGAACTGAGAGCTGTAAACTAGCAAGCAGCTGTCATTTACCTTTACTGAACTTTTTCCACCCCTATCCATCAGCAGTTCGGTCCTGAGCAATCCTAAAAAGCAACCGACTAATTAAACTGAAGTTGCATTTTTCTCACTGGTGGATTTGGGGTAAACTCTTGGGAAAGATGCCTTTCGTTTCCAGTGGATTAAACTTCAGGAGAAGGGGAAAAAAAAAAACTGAGTTGTGTTATTTCAGTTGTTCTAGTGCTGAAGTGTTGTAACTCCTTTCTAAGAGTTTTGTCCCAATTGCTGATGTATAGCACCCACCAGCTTTCTTTTGTGTATGCTTCTCTCTGTTTCCTTCTTTCCTCTCTGGGCCTCTGGAAAGAAAGAATTGTCAATAATACGGTGAAAATATTGCAGTCAGATGCAGACCCGTAAGCAGAATCCACCATGCAGCATGCTCTCACTCAGCTGCCCTTCTTTTATCTGAGGCTCAGATCCCACAGCTCGCAATTATGGTCTTTGACTTCGGTAACAATTCTGTTTGAAATGTTTCCAATTACACACAATATTGGCGGCATGCAGCAGCTGCATGCCAAAAAGCATTTCGAAGTGTGTTCCAAGAATCAGGCTGTGATTGCTTTTAATTTAAATAAAGGCTATTTGGTTTCCTGTGAAGTTTTTTATAACCACCTTCACAGCACCCCCCCCACCATTGTTACCTTTTTAAGAAGTGATATAAAGTAGCCATCACTTAATGTGATA